GAACGCTATCCAGATATCCCAGTAGCGGACCAAGGGAACTTAATTATTGTTCCAGGAGCTTATAAATTTCGGTTATACGTGTAAAAGTACCGTTATCGTCTTATTCCATTATTGTCCAGTTTTATACGAGCGAATGTATGACGTGGTGTGTGAAAATTGATTAAATCGTTTCTACATTACAACAGAGTATGCCAATCTTTGAGAAATAATAATTATATGTTGGTTGTTTCAAATATGCATTATAAATTATATAATGATAATCGTATATAATTTATCATATCAAGAGTATTTCAAAACATGATTTTTCACGTTAAACTCTTGTTAAAGAAATATTGGTTTAAAATTTGTTAAAAAATTTATAACTCAAGGAAAGTATACGAAGCTTAGAATATCGTATACAACGTAGGACACAAAACTTGTTGCACTTCACCTACTTTTTAGAGCACGAGAGAGTTAGCGGGATTTTCCAATTATTTATATTTCTTAATTTTACAAATTTTACATTTCTTCATCTTAGAAAAAAAAATTATCTAAAAATACTATAATTACTTTATTATCAGAAATAATACCATCTTTTCGAACGTTTGTCGATTATTAAATATATTTTATATTACAATATAATTCTCTCTAATTGTACAAAAGTAAATTAAAAAAGCTTAAATTGTCAAGCAATCAATTTGGATTTTTGTGACGAAACGGACAGAAGTAACGTACAGCACGCTGGTGTAATGAAAGCGGAAAGCGCGAAAACATCAGGATTAATAACCCTTAACATTATCAGAAGGTATAATCCTTCGCTTCGCCGGCAAAAAAGGAGACTGAGACAAATGGATATTGGTATATGTCGCGGTCACTGTTGGTGATCGTTTTTATTAGGAGACACGATTGTGCGGGCAGCACCTGTTTTGTTTCCTTAAATATATATAGTTTGTCAAGACATTAATCGTATTCTTTTCCTCGTCAGTTTATGATTAATGCATATCTATATTTAACTATAGTGTTAATGTTTAACAAGCTAATGTTTAACTGATCGATAAAAAAAAATAGAGGTAATTTTGCGTTGTGTTATATTGCATGATAAAAAAAGAAAATTTAAATTGGCTAACATAGAAACAGAACTTTATATAAAATGAGTAACAAAGTTGATTATTTATTATAAAATGTATTATTCTGTTAAATATAAAGAGGAATGTGTGTGTCTGTATTATTTCATATTTTTGGCAATACTGGCAATTATTTTAATTAATGTATTTTGAAAGTTAATTTTCATTATATTGGCTATTTTTGAAATAACTAACAATATTTCTGCAAATTATTTTTACAAGATTTTAGATATTTATAAAAATGTTTCTGCTATATTGATTTTAGTATATTGACTCGACATACGTATGCAATAAAAAAAATGTACAAATAAAAGTACAAACAAAAAGCATTAGTTATATAGAAATAATTGTGCAAGCACAAAATAGTGTTGTGCAGAAAAATAAATTTTTAGGAATAAAAGTCTGTACTATTTAATGCTCTCGATATGGTATATGAATTCATTTTCCATAAATACGCCTTGTATTTTTTCATATACATTTTCATATGATACGATGCCGTATCTTGTTACTATATTGCATATATGTGCAGATTTTCTGATCTGTATTATTATATCACCATTTCCGAATGTACTGTTTATATAAATCATTGCGACAAATTGCTTTTTAATTTCTCGTAGTAGGCGGAATATGGAAAACTTTTTAATTCTTCAAGTTATTTTGGAAACTAAAAATATTTGATGCACAAAATGAATTATGTATTTGGAAAACGGGAAAAAGCATAAGGCAATCTCAATTTTAATTTCTATGATTTACAAAGCATACTCAAGTTTATTAAGTGCAGTCTCTTAATTTACTCACTATAACTTCTTTTGACAACAACAACGTAGCTACAGTGCATAGACATGTGTGCGATAATCTGTGGATGGAGTTTCAGCATCAGTCTCCTTTTGTTTCGTCTGTTTCTGCGGAGATAACTGATCCATATAGTCATTTGGGTTTAGCGAAGCCACGAGCCCGAGCTTAATGCACTGCGAAGATTCATACATATTTGCACCACGCGTACATCCATATATATATATATATACATTTTTGTGAGTAATAAAATGATAAAGATTTGAGAAAAAGTAGAGGTACAAGGTAATCTAATATATGAATAATGAGAATAAGAATAAGTCTTGTACGTTTATTTGAACACACAGGATAGGTGCAAACGAAAGCTAATTTTTTTATTCCATTTCTTTTTAATAATAAGAATGATTTTTCGTGGCTGTTTCTCTTGACAAGTGATGAAGAGGGAAAGAGTTTCAACTTGGATGAATTTAATTTTAAACTTAAATAGATTTAATTTTAGAAATTAAATATTTTGATAATAAGCCGAAAATTGTAAGAAAAAAATAACTTAATATTACAAGATTCTCCCCTGTGGGTTTGCTGTTTGATTATCGGTTAAGGGTGACAGTCGCGTGATGAGAAATTAAAGAAGGTACGAAAGTTTTAAGCGTATTATGCAAGCGTCGTGTCAAAACTGAGATCAAGGGTATCATAGTTATTGAAAATGCTACCGCTTAAGCGTTAGTGTGTGTGAGTACGTGTCTGTGTGCGTGTATAGGTGTGTGCGTGCGCGCGCGCGCGTGTGTGTGGAGTATGTGTGTCGAAGATGGGACCTATTGAGTTAACTATCCTCGTCCTCGGGATCAGGGAGCAGCACGTTAGGAAGTTATAAGTCTTTAAACTTTAATTTTAACTTGAACTCGACGGCGCTAAAGTTGGTTTAGTTTTACCTTACTTATACTTCTGCGGTCAGGACCTGGAGCCTTAAGAAGCTTCAAGATTCCACGATAAACCCCGAACGCTTTACATTATGGAGCAGTAAACTAGAAAGACTTTCGATGTAGACGTGGCATCTCGCTTTTTTTCCCGGCTGTTGCAAAATATTCGCGATAATATCTGATATGTGAAAATTTAACGTACATTCATTGTGATACATTCTGATTTTATGACAAACAGTTTTAATACTGCTTTTTGAGACGAAAATTAAAGCAGGCATTTGTTTTCAGCATTGCTGTTTCAATTATTCCCTGCGACTGCTCGCATATAATTTTTTATTAAATTTGCTATAATAATCTTGTTTATGCGTTTTTTGCGTTATCAATTAAAGATTAAAATTGTATGTTATATCCGGAAGATAAAGAATATTAAATAAAAAGTATTCACACAATATTTAAAATGTTCAAATTTTAAAATGTTGGGATATTCTTCCTAATTAAGTAAATGAATGATTTATTATTTTTCACATTTTAGCGCATTTTATAATATATGATCTCAAAAAAACAAACTCTTATATATAATTTTTTAAATACAGAGATATTTTAAATTGGATTACATTTATTTGTATGAAATTTCATTGAAAAATTATTTCTTCATTTTCTATTATGCAGAACTGATCTCGTCAGAAAAAAAAAATGTTATTTATCCAAAATTCTGTTCCAATTATCACCAGTATCATTCCAGTTTTTACGTGATTAAAAGATTTTTTAGATACATCGCACGACTCATTATATCTCACGCAAATAGATTTATTCTTACGCAAGATAAGCATACTTCACATACTATATATATATCATTTGTATCTCGAATGTAAATTCTAATGAGGCGGTGGCGTAACGCATGAGAAGAAACGCGTTGTCGTATTTTACTATAGATGAAAAAAAATGTATTTTCTCGACAGGCGTGTGTCGTTTCGTGAAAGAAACGGATGCAGCTATCTTCCGTTTTGGACGTCGTGCAGAAAAGACGCGACACAAAACGGGAACGCTCGTTTTACTCCGCTCGTACGCGAGCAGGTATAGGTATTTGTTCGTGGCCGCGCGCCATGAGGTATCGGTCGATCGGATCCTCCGTTTGGCGTTCCGCGCGGATTCGAAAATTCACCTACCGCAGAACACGGAAGTTCCGGCGGCGGCGCGTGTCGTTCCCCCTGTTTTTTTTTTTGCAAAATCGAGTTTTCCAGTCATTCGCGCATCAGTCAACGTCGGCCGCCGTTTTTGCAAATCGTGCGGCGTCGCGATATCGGATAGGTAATTTCCGAAATCTCAGCCGCCCGTCGGATGATCTATTGCCGGCGCATCGGCCATTCGATACAGCTAACGCATTAGACCGTTCTATGCATTCGACATCACTGAGATCAATAGACACTTCTGACACGTTACATCGCGATATGTAACAAACGGAGGCGGATCAGGAGTGTACGTTACCATCCATGGTCAACACTGTATTGCGCACATTATATCCTATGTACGCATAATTGACATACCACGTCGAGAGCGAGCCATTAACGTCGATACGAATACCACGATCGAAACTGTACGCTTCATAAACGTCCAATAACGGTCATGACAAAATATTTTCCTCGACTGTATCTAGGACAACTGTTCTTGGAGGTATATATACTGCAGTTGATTAGAAATGTATCTGTAATTATATACTATCATTATTTCGAATAATTTTGTAGAATAAGTATTTTTGATTTTTTTTTTGTAGTAATTGGCATAAAGTATATCTTGAATTCATCTCTTTTCTTCCGGTTTATATTTATTTAATTGTCGTATGCTTGCTTAAATGCGTCAATTGAATTCTAAGCTGCGTCTATAAGACAATTGAAGATTAACATCGTAAAATATCCGCTAGACGCATATTTTTATGCTGATCTGCAATTGAAGAAAAGCACGATTTATCTTCTAAGAAGATAGCGATCGCATTACAAGTCGGCGCTTCATCCGAGAAGTCTCTTACTCTCTTGCGCGATTCGCACCTTAAAACTCCGGGCGACTTAGCTTTTCCTCCGCCACTGCAGCCACCCTCCTCCTCGGGGGTTGAACGTCGCGACGCGGAGGAGGGCGATTTTGGTTTGCCCCTCGCTCGTAGCGACGCTAGCGCCGCGTCGGAGGCTCCAGTCCGACCTCAGCATCACTCGTGGTGGTTTCGCGCGCGCATCCGCCGCTGAAGTGAGACCACTTTTCAAAGGGGAAAAAAGTCGAGATTCCGTCCTGTTTCCGGCGACACCGGCCGATTCCATCTCCCGTCGCTGTGTCGCGTCGTTCGACTTGGCGCGATTAAAAATCTCGGACCGGCGATCGTCGAGGCACGTCGATCGAAGAGTTGCCGAAGAGAATCACGAGGAGTGCGTTTTTTTTTTAAACGAAAAAACGAAATTAAATATGAATGAGAATGAATCACGGGCGATCGGTAGGTGCGAGTGAGTGACCGCGGATCTATCGATCGCTGACGGATCTCCAACGCTACCAACAAGTGAGCCGCGTGTGCGAATATCGAAAGGAAGGATTCTCTCAGCTTTTGGATTCAATCTCCTCGATTTGACAGCGACACGTTTGTTTACCGCTTGTCGAGCAAACCTGTTTTCTTTTCGCGCGCGCCTCGCGAGTTTTGTCGATCCGAGTGCTTTCGGGTGCGGGTGAAATGTATTCGCGGGAATGCGGGGATTTCTCGCGAAATCGCAGAGTGATTCAGGAATCCTAAGAGTGTTTCGCATCGCGGTGTGGCAAAAAAGAAGAAACGTTTACGTGATTCGCGAAGAATTTGGAGAAAATTTCAGGAATTCCGCGCGGAATAACTGTCTTAGAATGTGCTCGAGTGATCTGAAGTAAATTCGATCCCGAGATTCTGCGGCGGAGCGTGATGATAGTTAAAGTGAGAGTGCGATGAAACGCATTCAGTGAAATCCGGATTAAAATGCTCTCACCTGTGCGAATTTCGCTCGTACAAAATTGTTACGCAGGTACGAGCGGGACATTGCAGCGTGTCCCTGGTATTTAAATATAGGACCGATTGAAATACGAAGGGGATAAAATATATATTATCCGCGGAATATCCGCGAGGCGCGATCGTGCGGAAAGTTTCTCGCGTTTCGAATGTGATAAACTTTATGCGATATTTGGGGAACGGTTACGCTTTGGATGCCTCTGCATGCGATTCGAAGGTGCTTGAATTTGAATCGAGCTTTACGTTCAATGTAACGTTCAACAGAGATATTTCTGCGGCGGTGCGTAAATGTGTCAGCAAAAATCCGCATTAAAGCTTCAGCGTCGGGCTCTCTCCAATACCGATAAGCTTCACGCGAGTACGAATCTTCCGGTTTTAAGTGGCACTTGAATGCGGGACCCGTCGCCCGCGAATTTACAAAAAAAAAGTGGCGCGAACTCTCGGCACCGCGTAAAAATATGATTTTTATTTATAGTGACACGCACGCTTGTTGACAGAACTGTGCGTACGGACATTCAATTTTTACTGGGAGAGAGAGTTATGAATATATTATAGTCCGCAGTTATTTGCTTCTGTCACAAGGTAACAACCAAATCAAAGGAAAAATTTTAACAAGTTAAAAGGAACTGTATAGCGACGAGATTTTGACGTGTGCGGTCGAACGCACAGTATATTTTAAATCCATGTACATAAATTGAGATATATTAAAACTATGCGAATCAAAGTCGCTTGAGAAATTAATTTCCGTTCATAATTTTTCTATGGAGAATGAAATAAAGTCTGCACGAAAACGATAGGCTGCGTCGAGAAGGTATAATTGAGCAAAATCTAAATCATATTGATTTTCAGATGATCTTTAGATGATCCGCGAGTTTCGTTTACAAACGCTTGGGGGATAAGAACCCAATTTACTTTCGAGGAGCGTAAAGGATGCCGCGCTCTTCGAGCCACCGCATTATTCCGCGTGCGAATTCTTGAGGATCTTTTGGTCGGCGCCAGACATAGTTCGTCCCTCGAGCGAGCGAGGTTGTAGGGAGGTGTACGAAAGAGAATAAGGGTGGTCTGATGTCAAACGACCCGTCGGGATGCCGGTGATCCGCGAGAGGAAAACAATTTTCCGCGGATGATGCGTAATCGTGAATGTATCCCTCGCGAGTGACAACGGAGAATTCGTTAGAAACGCGTCGTGACATGCGAGGATCTTCGCAATAACAGTCTTCTCCCCTCCCGTCTCCCCTTCCCCCTCGCCGCGGCTACGCGAGCACGTCCTTACGGAGTGTTTTAAGTGTACGGTCGTACCGTGAAAATAACAGTGTCACTCGTCCGAATGTATGGTGGACTCTTGGAGCAGAAGTGCGCGTGAGCTGTAAAAATACAGCTCGCAATAACAGTAACGTCGCGCCGCTCCCTTACGTGACCGGCCGGCAGAGACCCGTGTTCGCGAAAACGATTGCGCGAAGTGCCGGCGAGAGGTACTCGTGAGACTAAAGGCTCCGACTTCGTCGTTTGATGTACTCACCGCCGTGCAATTTCAGTTTTCGGGGCGGTGTTTAAAGTGTGTTGTGCGAAACGCAAAGATAACAACGTAACGGGTTGACATTATAGGAGCGCCTTTCTCGCCGAAATGTCTCTCGCAGACGTGAATTGTTCAGTATAAAGTGCAATAATATGCAAGTGATAACCCGTTTGAACTTTTTATCGGCGCGTTTTATCAGGCGTAATTATAGTCGCTCTTTGAGATTGGAATACGTCGGGACGAAATTACGCGGCACGCGTTGTACCTAAATCGTTGCACGTGTGCGGAAACGCGTTTATGAGAAACGTCACGAAGTTACGCAATTAGACGAAGAAAAATATCGCGAGCGTAGCGGAAGTAAAACGGGGGGATTACATATTGTGTAATTAGTGCTGAAATACTATTTTTGAGGTGGAACGGAAAGTTGTAACAAATCGTCCAAAATACGCCCTGCGAAATCTCGAAATAAAATTATGCACCGCGGTGAATGAAAGGGATGACGAGAATGTATAATTGGAAATAGAACTCGCTTCTTCCGCGATCGATCCCAGTCGCCAAGATAAAATCATAATATACGATATGCACGACCGGCTGTAACAATATTGACATTGCCAACGAGTGAAACTCCTCTCTCTTCTCCGTCATCGTCGATTACACGCTTTTCGGCGTACGCGAAAAGCTTGCAGCCGCGGACGGGAAAGTGTTGACGCGGTGCGTTCTATTAATTTTCCATCACGCGGCGCAAAGTTTCCCCGCGAGTTAAAGGCCGAAATTGGAGCAGCGCGATAGCGACGTGTTGTGAGAGAAGATCTCGCGCGACGTCGCGGAGAAAAGTAAAATATGCATGCGGGTAAAAGTGTCCGTTGTAAGCTCGACGAAAGCGCGGCGAAATTCCTTTAATAAATCGCTTATCCTTCGCGCGAAACATCGTCGCGTCGTGTGTTCTCAAGCGGAGAACTATTAGACACTCCCGAGTGTCGAAGATTGTTGCGAGATCGTTAACTGGTTCGCATCGGGAATCGATCGCTCTCGTAAGAGATCGAAGAGTGTCGAGCAAAAGCTGTGCTAAAAGTGGTTGGATACTTCGCAGCGAGTGCTCCAAGGGGTTGTCCCTTTTTGGTTGCGTTCTCGTCCATCCGACTCCATTCCGTGCCATTGTCTCCCGATCGTTTCGATTCGGTGTCCCTTGTGAAAAGCGATTTCCTCGATCGTGTGCACTTCAGTGAGAAGAGGAACGCGACTTGTTTGAAGGTAAATTTTAAATCGCCTTATTAATTTAAAGTGACTTTACAGAGAACTGCGGGATAATATGTTTCAAATTAGCGATATATTTATCTAAAATTTAAGTATTTATTTCTTTAAAAGGGCAATTACAAATTGTGTATAAATAAATTAGCGAAAAAATATGTACAGACTTATAAATGCTGAACAACTCTTAAGAAAACTAAAAACTATACAAATGTTGGGCTAATTGGATGTACAGTATAACGGAATATTTAAACACTTTGTATAAGATTACTATTAAATTTATAACATGCAATATTTTAAAATACATATTATAACTTGCAATTTAGAAGTAATATATAATCTTGAAGAATTAAAAATAATTTAATATTATAAACAATATCTGCCAAAATCGTAATAAGATTTATTGTTAATGTAAAATTATGTACGTACACTAATAGCTTCGAAAATGTATTATGTTCCTCAAGACATTGACTGTTCCAAATTAGTTTCTATGATTTCTGCGTAAAATTACATAGCTGCAGCTTATAATAATAAACTACAAAACAAGTACCGCGTGAAACAATATCTCAATTCTCAAAATTTTAAGAACTACAGAAAACGGTATCTTTAAAAAAATAAAATAAAATAAAATGTTTTTATTACATTAAATCTTTTAAAATGATGAATTTGTTTAGAAATCAAAGAAGTTCCGTGCGTTATTCTTTCTTTTCTCGCTCTTTTTTATTTAATTTCTTAATACGATAAGAGAAGAGTAAATAGTTCAAAAATTTATTTATTTTATATTTCTTATTAACATTTTTAATATTTAGATATATGATATACTTTTTTAGCAATAAATAATATATATTTAAACGATTATATTTGGAACAAAGTGATCTCATTTGTGAAAAGTATAGTGATCTTGTTATAATCAAATATTATCCCGTTCTTAGATAATTTATTGGACGTACACTGTTAGAGTGCGATAATTAAAGAGCTGTCACAGTTTTCTAGGCGAGCAGTTAGTTCTCATTTATAAATGAGATTATAATGAATCGCGGGCGCAAACTCAATTTCTTCGAAGTCCCTAATGGATTTGTCACAAAAGAATGTTAGCTTCGGGAATGGGAAGAGTTTGGGGCTCTCTTAATCTGTCTTTACTGCTTTCTCATTACCTAGAACTCCCGGAGTGAAGGCTCATTGAAATAAACGTGAGGGCTAAATTAAACGGACGAAAGTCCGATATTGCCTATTTACGTCGTATGTTTTTTTAAAACCTGTCTTTGTTTGAGATCATTGCTTATAGCTATCGTTGATCAGACAGGAATGTGCACAAGATTACTACGTACATACACGGAAAGAACGATTTTGTTGAAAGGTCTAAAAATTTTGCTAAAAACAGATCTGAAAATATTTTTATATTGAATTATCAAAATAATTTGTTGGAATGTTAAAACTGATAAACATTGCTATAAAACGTTTTGATATTTTAACAATCACTTTGGCTTTCACACAAAATTATTTTGATTATTGAACAAAAATTATTTTCAGATCTGGATTGAGTAAAATTGTTTTTTCCGTGTAGGAAAATTTTATTTACTTGTACGCGGAATATTTATGTGAAGAAATATATTTATTATTGAAACATGTTATGACCTTTTCATACATTATTTGAATTACTTATAATTAAATAATTATTCTGAAATTAATTAAATGTAACGTTTAATTAAAAATGATCTCATTTTCTGAGTTTTACGAATTACATTTTACACACAACTACCTGATATTAATTTATTCATAATGCTTCTATTTGATCTGGATACATATTAAAAACAATAATTTTAAGGTTTGTATTTAATAAATAAATGTATAATAATGAAGTGCTGAAATTACGTTTTATAAAAGAGGTGAAGTTTAAACTTTCGCGAAATTTGTAAACTAGTCACAGACTTAAATTATATCTAAAAGTTTGTAAATCTTTAATTAAATTTCTTTGTTATTATAAATAAATACGATATTCATAAAAGAGATTTATTAATTCGGCGTCATAAAATACGTATTGCTAATTTATAATTCTCAGAGTTGAGAATTTACGAATTCATAAGAGAGTCGACTACCACCGCTAAGCACATTTTCGCGCAAGTTTTTTCCTTTGCGTAAGAAAATATCGATGTGATATTTTTTTTGTAGTTTTCGCGGTTCGACGAAATTGCAAATGTGTGAAATATCCAACTTTTCGCGGTTGGCCATATGTGTGCACCGCTGCTGCGGGCAATCGCAGCCACGGAAGGAAAAACATCAGTCCGCCCCTCGTTCATTATGATACCGCAAAATAATTTCTCTTGCATTAAATTATAATAATTTTAATGCACTGCCGCTGGGGTCGCACCATGGTACAGATCGATCTTTGAATAACCGTAAATTCAACCGTTACATACGTGTATAATCGTTATATATGTGTATTGATTATTATTCTGCTTCCGCCTTTAATTATAGCTTGATTATTTGTCGTTGTCGACTTATAATATTTTTTGTATACATATGTTTTTTTAATTTGTAAATGTTATTGCAAATATTAACTGCAAATATTATTTCTTTTGCTCCGCAAAAAAATGTTCGTGAAAAGTAATCAATTTAACCGAAGCTTCATGTTACAAATATAACAATAATAATTTTATCAAATTGCAACAATTCTCTCTGTCATTTTAAACTATACAAACTGAAGACATCGAAGGTTTGATTTTACGAGGTAGCGGAAAGGATCCGAACGAACGGAAGATGAAAGCGGAGGAAGAAAACGGAGGACAGGGATTCGAATAATGGGCGAATCTTGCGCAAAACGAAATGATTGATGGAAGCGCACGGGCGGAGACGTGAAAATGCCTCGGAAACAAAAGGAGGGGAGGAAATAGTTGAGCTTGTGTGCGCGGACTAGGTCGGTGCCTATGATGCTCGAATGCAGTTAATTCGAATGCTTTCGATAATAGTGACACGGCGGAGAGTCATCAACCGGCTGGCTCGGTTAATGAGTTTTCCAGCCCTTTTCCGAGAACTGACATTTGCAATAGTTCGATTTTGAAAAAGCAATCTCTCTGTTCGCGTCTCTCTCATTATTCCATGAACTCGAGATTGAAGAACTCAGACCGCATTTAATGGGAGAAAATGATATTAAGGTGCATTAAGCAAGATTAATGTAGAATTAGAAAGAACAAAAATCCTATTAAGGATAGCTGGCATTTTGATTCTGTTCGTATTTTAATATTTTTCAGAGTTACATAAATCTCATAAAGAAATCTGTATTGTTTATTTGCAAGAGTATGTTGTAAATAACATTTACTTAAAGTTGATATATTTATAATTATTTTATCGTACATATAGGTTTTTGTTTTTTAAAATTCTTAAAATGAGCAGAAATTATTAATTGTTATTTAATATAAACATAATAAACAAGTAAATTACAAAGATAAAACATAATATTATTAAAAATTTCTTCAGTTTGATAATACAATGTTTGGATTATAAATTCACAGAAATTATTTTTAACATTTTTTTATATTTATCACTGGTTAACACAAGAAAAAATACATACAGATACGTATTCGTATGTGTGTTTAAGATAATTTCGTATCTTAGAATTTTGCTTAATGGCGGAATTATCATTATTCAGATTTAACTCCGAAATTTACACAAGGTAATGACCTAATGGTCTTCCACATTCATTAAATATCCAAGTTGTCACAGAAATATGTATGAACCTAAGGAGGTTATCGCGCAATGCAATTTTTCTTCATTAATTTTGTCCGGTTTACGTATGCACGAGCAAACCAGTGTAGTGCACGAACCAACGCGGGTTTATTAGATAAATATTAAAATGTGCTTCGCATTTGTTACACAAGTTTGATTGATATGTCTCAATGAAAAAAAATATTCTGCCTTGGAGACATAGGTAAAATGTATTTGATTATAAAAAGAACAATAATTAAAGAATGCATGAGTAATATTTTTTAATAAAGTACATTTTATAATGTACATTTATAAAGTCCATTATAGAAATCTAAAAAAGAAATAATAATAAAGCAGTGTAAAAAAATGTGAAAGAGAAGACGTATCTAGATTTTCACAAACTGTGGGATTGAATATGCAATGTGTCCCGAGAATGATGATAAAGCTAATGAGATGCACGAAGCATTCAGTTTTTTTTAAATTATACATTTCAATAGTCTCTTACGTTTCATTAATATTAATGAAAATTTTTCAGTTTTCATTGTATCGTAATGAGTGTAGCGGAGGAGTAATTTTTCAAGTAATACTTTATGGATTGCGCGCGGATCGACCAAGAAGACGTATCGAGAGAGATACATCTAATACAAAAATAATGAAAAATCCGAGCGTGTTCGCTCGAAGCACTTGTCGGACCGACATTGATTTCTCTTCGTGCCATGCGGAAGCATCGCACTTTTATATATTCATGTAACAATCCTTGCGCGCATGAGGATACGACGTAAGTCCAGTTTGCGTGAGATTTTCGGAAAAATCGCTCCTCGAAAACTTTCGCGTATTCTTGAAACCGAGTCTTAAAACTTTCCCGAAAGCTACTTCGGGCGCCGCGGCATATTTCCTCGTTCGATTTAAGCCGAAGGATTTTACTATCCTCGCACCTCGAATTTTACGATCGGTGTACCCATATCGCGCAATCGCGTCGGATAAACTTATCTGCTCTCTCCCAACGTTTTTCCTCCCTCCTCCCTCCTCTCTTTCTCCCTCTCTCTTTCACTCTCTCTGTGTCTCTCTCTCCAACAGTGATTTAGTGGACCAATAATATCGGTGTCGCAATAATTTTCTCCGCGTGACAAATATGTACTAAAACGTATCCGCGGCAATTTGTATCAATAACCATATTTCATTACGCGTATCACGGCGCTACCGGTCTTGGTGCGATCTCGATTCCATATTGGCGCGGCAGCGCTACCTAATCACGCTTGCATCTCGCTCGCAAACTGACACACGAGTGTATACCAATCTTC